AGCAAGTTGAAATTATAGAGCAAACTACGAACATCCACTACCATGGGATCACTCACCTGAGCCTCAAAGTTCACTGCAAAATATCTAAGGCTAGGATAGAACACAGACTTACCACAATGATTTCTAATACTAGTACATGGCGTACAGTATTTTCAAACCATATACTTGATGGTGTATATGCATGCATGTGTGTAGGTACACACACCTCCAGACATGAAAGAAGGGGAAATAATGTATCTTTGCTCACTCTGATAGAAAGTTAAGGATTCTGGATAAAGAGAAAGAACTAATATTTCTTGAGTGTGGATTAGCTACCAGCCCCTGCACTGGAGCTCTATAGAATCTTTCTCTCAGACATCCTCCATTATCATACACACTGAATACCATTACCTCTCAAGTTGAGCTTCAACCCAACAGAAAAGATTAGACAGTGGCAAAGACAGCCTTTAAATCTGTGTATGTCTGATTTCAAACAACAGAGGAACAAGATGCCAAAGAGGACAACACAGTGCTGAGGAGAAATAAGATGCTGACGAGGACAGTGAACTGCCCTCTAGAGCTCATGCAGTTGCCAGGTGATCTTCGTGTTTTGGATACTGCTGTTGTTCCTATGGTTATAAAATTTCTTTCTTTTTTTTAGGAATGTTCATAGCTTACTTGACCTCAGAGTCATGATCCTCAGCTTCCTGAGTACCAGGATTATTGTGTGTGTGTGTGTGTGTGTGTGTGTGTGTGAGAGAGAGAGAGAGAGAGAGAGAGAGAGAATGAATCTGTTGTGTGAGTATGTGTGTGTTGTGTGTGTATGAGTGTGTTATGTGAGTGTGTGTGTGTGAGAGAGAGAGAGAGAGAGAGACAAAGAGAAAGACTATGTGCTTGTCTCTGCTCCTATATTAATTTTAAAGGAATCCACAGTACAGTATGTTGTTTGAAAACAGCAGTATTTAAAAATAAAAAAAGATATAGTCATAAATGTTAGCAAAGTGTGGGGAGCTGGGCCCCTCACATGCTGCTGGCAGGAATGGAAAGTGGTAGAACTGGGTTTGAAGACTGCATGGCAGCTCCTTTAAGGTTTAGCTGAACAACTGCTTTCCAGTTGTATATCAAGAGTGCTGCAACCTATGTCAGCACTACAACTACATGTGAACACTCACAACAGGTTCATTATAACAGTCAAAAATGGAAAATGCACTAAGTGGAAATCTATCAATGGACAAATGGAAAACAAAATGTAGCATCCACACAATAGAGTACAACTCAGTTTTTAAAGGAATGAGGTATTGGTATACAGTATAATATGAAAGGCCAGTACACTGAGAATAGACAGTCAAGTCACAAAGGCCACACGTGATTCCATTTAGAGGCAATGCCCAAAACAGACAAATCCAAAGATACAGAAGTTGATTGCCAGCACCTGGAGGCTGAGGGGCACTGGAAGGGAGAGGGCAGCTAAAATGAGCAAGGTCTCATTGTGATGAAAATGTTTTAAAATTTAATGAGGCGGTAACTGCATTACTTTGTCAATGTAAAAACCATTGAAATCTATACTTTAAATGAGTGAATTGTATAGCATGTATATTATAAGACTATAAAGTCACTACAAATTTGTGTTTAGAAAACTGCACAATGAATGAATGCACAAAAACCCAAATTTATATATTTTGTAGACTCTCAGTAAATATCAGCTTAGTGAGTCTACCCAAGAACTTCATGACTATTTTGAAATCATATAAGCTAATTTAAACTCATGAGTCTTTTAAGTGTCTCTCACTCAGAAAGTGTGCCAACTTTGCACAATATTACCTGAAGTGTACCTTAGATTCAACTATCCTTGAGTTGAATGTTGGTGTCTGCTGATAACCCCAAAGACTGCATAGTCCTACTGTGCTGAGTCCCTCTATACAGCACCCAACAGAACAAACTGTGCCAAGAGCCACCTTTGATAAGCTGACAGTGCATGAGCTAAGTGTTAACTGGTCCCTCATCACCCTCACTAAACCAAACCAAGGCCTGCAGAAAAGCTGCAGTAAGGTTCAGAACAACTCATACATGGAGAAATCACTCACAGGGCCCTGATATGAGAGAAAAGGAGATGGTCTATAGTGCTTTGTTATTCATGATTTATTAAAGCTTGACTGAGGATTCAGAAAAGCAAAGCCAGCCTCAAGCTATAGAGATCAGGCAGTGGTGATACACACCTTTAATCTCAGCAACCACAAGTTAAGAGGTGGTGGTACACACCTTTAATCCTAGAACTCGGGATTAAGAGGTAGATTGATCTCTGTGAGTCCAAAGCCACCCCGATCTACCCAAGATTGAATCAGTCTAAAGGAGGATTATAGCTCACACCTTTAATCCCAGGACTCATGAGAGGTACATAAGTCAGTATCAGGACTGAGTAGAGGCATTCATTCTCTAACCATGCTAAGGAGAGGTTACAGTCTGATGCTTGGTGAGAGCTGGTGGAGACAGAATCAGACCATTCAGCAGGAGGTAGAGCTAGTGACCAGCTGCTTTGCTTTTGTGATACCCAGCTTGAAGTTTGAACCCCGATATAAGTCTCTGGGTCAATCACTTTTCATGTTACAACAGTCTTTTTTCTTCTTTACTAGAAGATACCCAAGAGCAGCTCCTGGCAACACTGATCTGTTTATAAATACATTTGAGCTCAGGTGGAACAGTGTAGAAAGGAGAACATCAATATATCCAGAGTTCAAATGAAAACTAGCATCTGTGCTTACAGAGGGAAGGGGAATGGGATAAAGGTACATGAGAATTTGAGAGCGAGCTGAGGAAGTGACCTGATATAACTGATTAAAGCGCATCTAAGACGATTCCATCTGAATACTTAATGTCCCAGGAAAGAAGTAAGTCAGAGAAATGTTGGATCAAACAACAAATAAATTAACTCAGCAGCTAGGCTTCCCATGGCTAGATAACATCACCATTGTAGTTGTACCTAGACCAGTAACCCCCAAAGATGGTCCCAAGCTTTCTTCAGAGACTAGAAGCCGCGTCACAGGGATACTTTAGGCAAGATGGGGGAAACTCAGGGTGTTAGAGCTGTAGACCCAGAAATATACTTTAGAAAGTATATATATTTCAAGTCTCTCCAATCTAATGGCAACAAAAACAAAGTGAGCCTTGATAATGGGGCAGGCTGGTCTGGAGGGAAAGCGAAACAAAATTGGAAAATGTGTATTCAGGACATAAGGACCCAAAGATTTCATGTGAGCACCCATTTTCCATTGTGTCTGATGGCTGAATCACTGCTGTGATTTCAGAGCAAGGCCAGTAGGCAAGAACTATCCTTTGTGAAACCAACAGCCACAGAAGTGGGGGGGGGGCTCCCTATCAAAAGGAAAACCAGGGCTTTTGTCTGTCTTAGAATGGAAAACTTATACTCTTTACTATCTTCCTTCGTTCCATTTCTGAAACAATTGTGTGCATGGATGGAGACGAAAGTGCAGGCCTAAGAAATCAAGGAACTTCCCTGCAGTCCACACAGCAAGTAGCATGATTCCATTGTCTTCCAGATCCTGACTGTTTTCTTGACGACTTTTGCCTTTCTCGGCTGAACTTAAGGACTTCTAGAACAAAGGACTCCTTGTTCTCATTATTTATTTGTTTGTTTGTTCATTCATTCATTTTTGTTTTTTTGAGACAGGGTTTCTCTGTGTAGCCCTAGCACTCCTAGAACTCACTCTGTAGACCAGGCTGGCCTCAAACTCAGATACATCCACCTGCCTCTCTCTTCTGAGTGCTGGGATTAAAGGCGGGTATTACCACCGTCTAGTGCTTGTTTTCATTTTTAATGCATATATGAGTGGTTTGGCTAAATGTATGCCTATGTATCACGTGCATGTCTGGTGCCCACAGAAACCAGAAGAGAGCATCATAGCCGCTGAAACTTAGAGTTTCAGATGGTTCTGAGCTGCCACGTGGGTGCTGGAAACTGAACCTGGCCCTCTGTAATAGAAAATGTTCTTAACTGCTAAGTCATCTCTCCAGCCCAAAGCACTGATACTTTGATGGAGATTTTTAAAATAACTATAAAACTAAGCCAACTGGAGGCAGTACCAAGAGAATAAAACAGAATGCACTGGGATTTGGAGTACTACCCACAGTGTGGGGGCTTTCAAAACCAAGATGACAGGGGAAATATTAGTTAAATCAGGGTAGCAGTCCATATGTAGTCCCAAACACCTGCAGCACCTGTCTACTGTTACTGTCTTCACTTACAAAGTATGTATAAAAAGATAAGAACTTGGGGATTCATGAACTAAACCACTCTTAACATTACTCAGGTTGTATTACGTATACTGTAAATGTTAATGTCTGTTATGTGCTCCCAGAGGGGTCAGTACTTGCCATAACCAATAAAAACATAAGACTGGGAGAAAAAAAAATCATTATAGAGACATCAACTTTTCTCACGCAATTCACAAAAACGAGAGCATAATTGAAGCTGCAGCTGGCTTTGCTACTTGCCTGAGATTAGCATTCATCCATGAATCTTCCCCTTGGGATTTGTAGGCAAACTTTCCAACTATTCTTTCCCTCCCAAGACACTGAATTTATCTAAGCCCTTATAGTTCCTTGATGACATAAGGTAACAGAAGATGAAGTACCATACTCTGGGAGATCCCAACGACACGAGACATTTTGCTCTAGCAACTTCTGAGAATTTATCACCAAGAATAGCCACCACATAAAAGCACTTGCAGGCTGCTACCATTAAAGAAGGAAATACGGGGCCTATTCCTGTTTGAGGTCTTGATTCATCAGTTACCAGGTATAAGCAATATGGGACCGTGAGGTCCAGGTTCTAATCCACCCTCCACCAGTACTGAGGTAACCTTCATCAAGGCCTTCCTCTTCAAAAATGGAGAACTCTGTTGTTCAAACTGAAGAGCACAGAGAAGATGACCCCTAAAGATTTCTCCAGCCCTGCACACTTTGTCCATCTGCTTTGCCTAATCCACCTGTTCCCCAGCAAGTACCTGTTTCTTAGTCACAGTGCCATCCACAGGGTCCACATATTCGAAGCTGTCTGTCTTTGCAACGCTGTAAATGTGGCTCCCCACAGCAAACTGCTGGCCAATGAAGGACTTGTCCGTCACCAGGGCCTCCAGGTCCCTCATGATGTAGTATGTTGCCTTGGGCTCCAGTCCCTCATAGTCAAACCTGTTGCGGGAAGGCAGGACACAGGAAAAACAAAGCCCAATCAGAGAACTGGCAGCTGGGTGGACCACTCGTGGTCCTGGTTCCAGGAAGGGAAACAGAGAAAAGCATGTTGAACGGGCCTCACTTTCTCTTCACAGCCTCTCCAAGGCAATCTCCACATGGTGGCCTTGTAAACTCAAGTTATGTTGTTCCTTTCTTCTAAGCCCATCCCCAAACTCCTGCCATGGTTGAGAACAAAACCCCAGGCAGACTATCACACACTATGGGGTCCAACCCTGCCCTACTTAGCTTGACAAACTGACTTTGTCCCACTTTGCACAAGCCATCATGGCTTCCACTCCAGCCCCTGGTGACACCTCAGTCACCACTGGCACTTTGTACTTGGCATTTGTCCCTCCATTTCGTACATTCTTAGGGTCCACCTGTGCATTTTCGCTTGCACTGGCTTATGGATTCCCTCCTGCTTGCTTTTGAATTTGCTTGTTTCAAGTCTGTCCTTGCCATTCAGAATGTGAGTCCAAAGGGGCACAGACCTTAGTTCTCCTATTCTTTGCTGTTTCTGGAGCACAGTGCAAGCTGTGTAAGTACTTTGGGGTCAGGAAGCAATGGAGGGGAGGCGGGGCAAGGGCAAAGAGAGAGGAAGAAAGTAAATTAAAATCCTTGCAGAACTTGAAAGAAATGTCCCAACTGCTCCATTCAAAAAGGTCTTCCTATCCACAAGCATCAAATATAATAGTAAGGCTGGCGTGGTGATCAAAAGAGTAAAAGAAAGAATAAAAATTCTCCCTGCCCTGTTTGTTTTGGAGTTTGAAATATGATGATGCATACCACACAGTTGGCTCAATGCCAAGAATCAAAGCTTTAAAAAAAAATCTGTCCATTGATTTGTTTATTTCTTTGTTTTCCTTAGTTACTAACATAAAGAAATTGTCTCTCCAAACATAGATAATCATCTCCAAATTTGGCTGGCCACGGCATGGAGGGGATGGTTATTTACAAAGGGAGCCAGAGGAGGAGCTCTGGGCCTAAGTGGCTTCAGGAGGACTTCACATCTGGGCTTTCTGCAGAATACAGAACGCTCAGGGCAAGCTGCAAGATGGCAGCCCTGAATAGTTGCAACTGCTTTTGTCAACTTGAGAGGTTTAAAGATGTTCAGCAAATATCAGAGCACTTGCCGAAATGGGGGTCAGGGAATGACATCATGTCTATCTAGCACATCCTTTCTTCCTCCTATACCAGGTATCCTTCCTAAACTTCACAAATAAGGTAACAGTGAAGTCGGAACACTGCTGGGAAACATGTTCTGCATGGATTTTTATTCGAGATAGACACTCTGGGGTGGGGGGAGGAGACCCAGCTAAGAGCCTGGCATGGAGGCATTTGTAATCCCAACACTCAGGAGACTCAGCAAGAGAATTAAAATGAGTTCAATGCCAGCCTAGCTTCAAAGTAAGATTCTACCAATTGATAAGTAGATAGTAAAATTCTGTAAATAATAGTAAGACCAAGACGAGCAAAAAGGGGCAGGAAGATGGACAAGACAGGAGAACGAGAACGTTGGAGGCAAAAATTGGAAACTTGAGAACGTTTGTTTACTAAAGAAGAAGGTCAGGCTGAGTAAAACTGAGATCAAGGACAAGCACCAGACCTAATGGTTTACCTCCTCACATGAGCGACTCCTGAAGCCGCCCTCTCTCCTCTTCTCTCCCCCCACAGCCCAATGGCTACTCCAGATGCCACCACCAGCATATTTTCAAGGGATATAACCTTTGAGTGGAGAATTGTTTCTGGAATTTATCCAGACAAAGAAAATTAGGAGACTGTGCCCAGCTACAACTTTAGTCTCACTATTAGTGATACTGAAATTGTTTTATTATTTAAAACTGTCAGCTAGAAATCACTTATTTCATTCAAAACCCCTTCCCTCCGCTTGCTATTTGCTGGAATTGCAGGAGTCTGTCCTTCACTGTATCTGCCCCCTATTCCCTTCTTCTTAATCTCTGTGATTATTCTGGATAGAAATTTGTAATACAGTTGAATGTCCTGCAAGAAATTAATCTCCATTGCATAGTATTCTCTAATATGGTATTGTTATGAAAGAAGCAATTAACATTACAAGCTCTTGGCCACAAAACATGAAGTATGTTATAAATACACTTATCATCACACCATTTCTTCAAAACACTGGCAGGAACCTAAACAGTCATTCCACAAATTATAAGGCACATATCTCTGACTCAGAGAAATCGCTCAGCTAACTAGCAAGCACAAAATATTTTTGTCAGATTGGAATCTTTATAAGATCTTCATGCAACAGAAGAAATTCATGTGCCAACTAATCTTTGGGTGTAAATTAAACAAATATATAAATAAAAACTCCACAAGAATCAGGGGTGTGTGACCCATGTTAGAAATATTTATGGGCAAAACAAGATCTCACCTACCTTGAGAATTTGTTTTATGACTCAATGTGTAATATGCCGATTTATTTATTTTCACATTCCCAGTCTTCCTAACTAACCAGGAATCAGTTATTATGGTTGTTGTCTCTATTTCCCAGAACACTGCAGTCCCTTAGAGTTTAATAAGTACCCTCAAGGTCTTGCTTATTTTCTGATATTTATCTAGGTAGATGCTTTTTAAAACAAGAAACATCACCACAAAAGGGAAAAGTGGAAAGCTCTTTGCCCCTCAAGCTCTTGAAACTCAACTGAACACCCAAGGCTCATAACCACACGTAAACAGAACAGAATGAACCACAACCTATGTCTCTAACATTAAGTCTGAGGTTCCCTAAGTCCCCTTTCCCACACATAGTTGCCCAGAGTCAACAATTTTTTTCTACCACCCTTTCTCCTAAGCATGGCTTTGTAGTAGGTACACAACCTGGCACACACCTAGGTGGCATAACCTTGGAATGTTCTTTCTTAGTTCAACAACAGGAAAGGGATAGACCCGCTACCCTGAGTTCTAGCCCACCATTCTTTCCTCTGCCTCCTTCAGAGATACTATTTCCCTTCTCTGTGTCTCTTTTTATCAGGGTAAGCCTCTAGCAAAACTCTGGGGCTGCTGAGCCATGCGGGCCATGCAAAGAGTTCCGGCTCACTCATATCAGAAGGCTTCTGACCATTAGACCTAGGGTGGGAGAAGACTTCAAAAACACAGAATTGTGGGATTTTGTGTCTGCCCACTCCTTTAAAAGATTCACATAGACCAAACAAGAAATGTGTCTGCTTTGACTATAGGACCCATAGCAACCAAGGATCACAAAGAATTTCCCAAAGCCCTGCATTTTGATACCCTCCTGGCATGACCACCCATTTGCCTTATAGCTTCAATGAAAATATTATGGAGGAATGTCAGCAGGGCAAGTAAAATCTGTCCTTTCACTCCAGCAGCCCTTGACAATACTCCCTAACAGCCAAGCCCAGCCTTCCAGTCCCTCAGGTGTTTCTAAAAGATGCTTTCTTCTTCTTCAATTCAAGCCCATCAGGTTTAGAAAAATCTCTAAGGGTAGTTCTCAAGATGCATGCAGAGACCCTGCCCATCCTCACCTGCAGTAGTAGTGGCGGCCATATTTGGCCCAATGATCTCTAACAATTTCCTCCACACTCTGCTTCCGGGCAGCAATAATGGACAGCCAGACCAACACAGCCCAGAGGCCATCTTTCTCTCGGAGGTGATCAGATCCTAAGGCAAAAAGAGAGATTCTGTTGAGGGGTCTCTCCTGGGGAAAAGCAAAGGTCACAAGACCATTTAACAACTTGGAGCTGTATCAAAAAAAGCTGTGTATTTTTACCCACTATGTATAGTTGGCATGTTATAATGTACTTGTTTTTTTTCTTTAAAAACATGTAAACAAAATTCAAATAATATAAAATAACAACAAAAATCTAATAAAATCCTAAAAATTATTGAAGGAATTGAAGGCCCAAAATAACATGATGTCATTATATATTCATTCTTTTACTCAGTAAATATTTGACAACTCTTCCAATCATCTCAGCAGTTTTCTATATCCTGGCCAAAAAAAAAAAAAAAAAAAGGAGTGAACAAGAAAGTTCTTTACTTAAAGTCTGAGTTCAAGCATATGGAGGCAGACGAGAGAAAGGCAGACAGAAGCATATGAGACATCAAATAAGGGCAAATGCTCTGGAGACAGAGGACATGCTGGTAGCAAGGGGCGGCATCACAGGCTGCGAGCACAAAGGACTCATTCTTCCATAACCTATGGGTGTGGATTTCTTCTGGGGGAGATGGTCTTTGCAGGTGCAACTAAGTTAGGGATCCTGAAACAAAGCCATCCTGGAACATCCAGATGGCTCCTAAATCTAATAATGATGTTCTTATAGCCAAAGCCATGAAAAAGGAGAACTAGAACTACAAGCTGCAGAGACACTGAGCCTGGAGTCACCCTGCTGTGAACTAAGAAGCACACAAATCCATGCAGCTCTGAGGGTCAGGTCCAGTGAGTTGACCACACCTGACAATGAGGCATCGGGATGATGAAATAGACACAGGCATCTAGAGAAGAAGGCGTCCAAGCCAAAGGACAGCAAACCCAAAATTCCAGAGGCAGGGATAGCTGAGAAACTGGATCCTACAGCTATTTATATGGAAAAGAGAAACATGTCTCACTGTGGCCCTTATACAAATAACTCATAGAGCCCGAATGGGGAGTTTGCTGGGCCATGTGGTCCCAGGAGTTTGTGTTGCAAATATACTTAACATATGTCACTTGGCCAGTCACAAGATTTCTCTGAAGTGGGAAAAGTGCTGAATTGAAAGGAACATGTTGCAGTGTGAGAAAAGCATGAGGAAGGCTTTGGAATAAGGGGCCCAACAAACCTCTGCTGCTTTCCAGGTATGAAACATCGTTTAGAAGTTGCTAGCCCATATTGGGTGGTGGTATCTAATGCCCTTAATCTCAGCACTCAGGAAACAGAGGCAAGTGAAATCTCTGAGTTTGAGGCCAGCCAGGTCTACAGAGTGAGTTCCAGGATGGCCAGGGCTACACAGAGAAACCCTGTCTCAAAAAACCAACAACAACAACAAAAAAGTTGCTAACCATTCCAAGTCTCAATTTCTCATCTATAATATAATGATACTATTAGCAAGCTTGTAATCCCATAACAACTGAATCAAGTTCAAAGAGCAGGCACTACAATGGTGGTGTTTACCTGTATTTCTAGCTACTTAATAAGGTTTGGCAGTGTTAGAAGTTCAAAGTCAGCCCAGGGAACATAGTAAGGCCATGTCCTTTAAAAGGCAGCAAAGGGAGGCACATTCTAGAGACCAATTTTGCATGTTCAGAATCCTGTCTTAGCTATCCACTTCTGTTTGCTATACTTGTTTATACTACAAGAATAGTAACAGCCTCTACCCTATGGCTTCCTCTGGGATTAATCAACTAAATATTCATAAGTATTTAGAAGTGACTGAGACATCACAGGCTTGTGGCTGAGAGGAATTCCCATATGGTGCCTACAATGCTGATTCCTAATACTTGTTTTAAAACAAACCATTCTGTTATAACACAAGCTGCTTTCTTCTTCTTTTGACTTTAGCAATAGCAACATCTTAGGAAATGAGACTGGGCCCGGAAGTGGACCATTTCCCATTGCAATCAGGCAGTAAGAATGGACAAGCTCACTCTTGCTTTTAAGGTGATGAAATAGTCATAACAAATCAACAAAGCAGACCCATGACACAGAGCTCTTAAAACCTTGAAAATGGTACAAAATGTTATCTTAATTAAGCCAAACATCTATGGGGACTAAGGCTGAAACTACAGGCTGATTACCATCATTATTCTACCTACATACTAAATGTTAAATATTTTCTCTCAAGAAGTAAAAACATGTAACCAGAGAGGGCAGTAAAGTAACTTAAATCAATAGGAAAGAGTTGAGTCTTGAGACTAGGCTTGTTTAACCAACAGAAACAGATGACCTGAATAAGGGGGAGCTCTTGGACCCCAGACTGATGCCTGAAAGGCCAGCATGGAATTAATCCAGACCCCCTGAATGTGGGTGTCAGTGAGGCGGCCTAGGCAATCTATGGGACCTTGGGTAGTAGATCAGTACTTATCCCTGGCATACAAGTGAACTTTTGGTGCCCATCCCACAATAAGGATGCTTTCTCAGCCTGGACTCTTGGGGGATGGCCTAGGCCCTGCCCTGAACGAAATGACAGACTCTGGAGATCCCCCATGGAGGGCCTCACCCTCCCTGGGGAACAGAGTGGGGATTGGGTAGGGAGTTGGGGAATTGTTGGGAGGGCATGGGAGGAGGGGAGGGAGAGTGAACTGGGACTGACATGTGAAGCAGCCTTGCTTCTAATTTAAATTTTAAAAAGGTTAAATAAAAAAAGTCAAGTCTTTAGTTCGTAACACATGCTGATCGATGGTCTGCCAATGATACTGTTGGATGTCCCACCGTGGTTGGCTCCAGGTTAAGAAGATACTAGTCATAAAGAGACTTATCCCAGCCAGTGAGCTCTTCATGCTGCTACAAGAAATGGAAGAAATTTGGAAGACTCAGGCACAGCAATGTGGCCCACTGCCAAAATAACAAGCCTAGGAAACCTTGCCCAGTGCAATCATCTCAAACCCTCTTGTCCTTTTATAGCTGAAAAAAAAGTCACTTTTACTTACTGGCTGAAGAAAAATATCCCTTTGTCTAAAACAAGGGCTTTGCATACCTTGGATCTCCAGCTGGATCACATTACCAGAGATAGAACCATTAGATGATGTTAAGTCCTTACGAGAGATGTCAGAATTTAGTGGCATGGAAACCAGAGTTCTTTTAGATGGATAAAACCTACCCCAGGTCATCTGTAGATAACACATAGTAAATTGTGAGCTGGCCTGGACATCTTTGCCTACAGGGGTAACATTTGCCAAGAATCATAAGGGGCTGATGATTGAATGAAGTTAGCTTTCCTCTCTAGTTCATTGAGGAAGCAAGAGAGATGAGAAAAGATGCTGCAAGTATTTAGATGCTGCTATTGGATGATCACAGTGCTTTGTGGAGGTAGAGTCCTTTAACACAGCTTTAAGGCAAGTGAACTCCAATGCCCTCCCTATCAGTGTCAGGCAAATCATGTAAGGAATGTGAACGCCCAAAGATGCAAGTATTTCTCTAAAAGCCTAATATAAATGGGGGGAAATGTATGTATACACACACACTACAGATATTAGAGTGATAGATGATAGATACATATATCATCGATACATAGAAAGAGATAGAGATATATGACATAAATAACAAACTGAATACTGTAAAATGTTTTCAGTAAAGGGGAATCCCTGTAGACAGCCATGGGAAAGTCACAAGCAAGCCCTTTTCTGTTGAGGCCAGCGCAACATGAGGCACATTCCAAACTAGCAACTGTCAAGAGGAAAATAATAATGGCCAATGAACATCTAAACAAATGTTCAGTCTCACTGTGCTCAGAGGAAAGCCAGTAGAGTGGGCCAGCTTTGGAGACTGCCCCACTAGCAAAGGCTGGCTTAAAAAGGAACCTCTCCAGGCAAGGGTGAAGCACCAATGTAGATGAGGACAGTTTGGTCCAATAGTTTAATAATACTAATCAAAGGCCTTTACATGCCAATGGCATTTGGACCCTGCTATTTCTTTTTCTTAACCTTTACTCTTAGAGACATTCACTGACAGAAACAACTTAAAGGGGAAATTTGGAAAAATATGTATTAGATTGACATGTGAAGCCAGCTTGTTTCTAACTTAAATTTAAAAAAAAAAAGAAGAGAAAAAAATAAGTATTCGCTGTTGAACAACAGAGTAATTGTGAAAAAGTCAAAGGACAAAATATTAGCCAAGTCTTCAGTAACATAGAGTGATGCTCATGAATTTTAACAAATGACAACAGTTTAATAAAAATAATATCAATTGTATTCTTGTGGGAAATAAATGAACCCATGTGGGCACAGATGGGTAACAGATCTACTAACAATGGCTACGTAGCTCTGAAATGTAAGAACTCTGTTTGCTTTTCTTTTCTGTCTCTTGTTTATTTCTACAATAAACACGTACATATAACTTTCAAGAGAAAACTTCAATTTTTAAATTTGTCAATGATAAATAGATGTGGAACACATGTGTTCCACAATGTTGCATGGTTGGATTCAGCCAGTAAGCAGCCTTTTGAGGTGGGTTTCTTTTACTCTGCGATATGCTTGCCCATGCCCTTCCTATCTTCATGGCTGGTGGGGGTGGAGGGTTACCTTTGGGGAACTGAGTTACACCAGTACAATTTTTGAAATTTGGTTCCTCTAGCTTCTGACTGTCCATACAGCCAAAGCCTGCCATTCAACTGGGACAAAGCAAGGAGAATTTAGCTCCAGTTTCAAAAGTCTAGAAGTACCACTCAGCTTTCCTTCCTCAATCCAAGCCAGCCCGACCCAAGCCCACCTCGCCTTCATCTGCCCCGTCTGCACCACAGCCATCAGGCCAGAACCCACATGCCTGTATGGGGCACAGTCCTTGACTGCCAGACTCCAGGAGAGGCAGCACAAAAAGGGGTCTATTTTCTTGTCAGAAATATCACTGATCCCTCTCCACTCAAATCAGACCTGGGACATTTTAAAACCACATTCCTTGAGCCTGTGTGATGTCGTAATGGGTAAAAGCATCTACCACACAAGGCTGGTGACCTGAATGTGATCCCCA